TTCGGGGGGGGGGGGGGAGGTTCATCCCCGAGTCTACCCAACCCTGATTGGTAGATGACTTACACACTGACTTACACACTGACTTACACACTGACTTACACAATTTATTGGGTGTATTTAAACGTATGTTAGTATGTTATTAGGACGTGTAACATATTTATTATGATACTGCTATTATTGATAGTGTCTACTTAGTCTAACAACTAGCTAGCCCAGTGTTACTTTCAAACTTTTTTCTCCGGGGGGCACTTGAAATTTTCGGAGGGGGGGGGGTGGACTCAAATTTCCGGGGGGGGGGGGGGGCACTCAGTGTTAAAATATATATATTATCTATATAAATTCCATTTCGTTCGTCGGGGTGAGGGGCGGTAGACTTTCGCTCGCCCTCAAACCCCTCCCCCCCCCCCCCCCCCCCCCCGAAGAGATGCCTGGAAGAAACTTTGATTGTAAATGTATAGCCATACACAAGTTTGTTTCAATTGTTTATTTCTCATTTTCACTGTTAAAAGTAAGCTTAAGAATACATCGCATTTCTTTACGTGTTTTTTTCCCATTACTATATGAGCAAGTCCCCGAAATCAATACTACGTTGTAAAAACACTTAGGGCGTTGCCGTTCTATGTGCAAGATGTTCACCTAATCTCACGATAAATCTACATTTCGAATGATTTCTAATGGTATAATAAGCTTATAATAAAGGAAAGAATTCAATACCAATGCAGGAGCAGTAACTACCGACGACCGCTGTCGTATGTTATGAATTATTTTGGCTGATCAGTTGTTGCTAGACCAGGGGTCGGCAACCTTTTGAGGTGGAAGAGCCAAAAGTTATAATTTACCAAATATCCCAGTTTTTAAAGAGCCACTAACACTTTTATTTCAGTATTATGATACTTGATTAGGATTATATATATATATATATATATATATATATATATATATATATATATATATATATATATATATATATATATATATTTATTCTATAGACACCACCCCACGCTCTTGTATTCTTTTTCCCTTTGTTTTTAAACCACTGTGAAAGCCGAGTCTTTCTCCTACAATTAAACTTATCAAAGATAAGCAAATGATCATACCACTTCCATGACTTATTTCCCTTTTTTTTCCGAGTGTCGCCGAACAATATTGTTATGAGTTGAAAATAAAACAAAATAAAATAATTATTAATATTTGTGCATGAAGCTGAAGAGCCGCATCTCGACATCAAAAGAGCCGCATGCGGCTCGCGAGCCGCAGGTTGCCGACCCCTGTGCTAGACTGTTGACTAGTTAACTTATTTTTATTTCGGATGTTGATTTAGATCAAATTAATCTGTAGGTGTTTCGCTAAATTGTATATCGTTGCTGCTGAGGGATGGGGTTCAAGGCAGGTTTCTGTTGTGTGGTAGAATGAATACAGCCAGTCTAGCTATTATTTTTTTTTAAATACATATTTGAAAATTTAAACATCAAACTATTATATTTTCGCAGATTCAATGCAAAAGTTATATGATTTTTTTAAAGTGGGAAAGCTAGGTATTTGGCTACAAAAAAAAAGTATTTTTAAGTAACTCAAAATAGAATTTAATAAATAGGACAAATAACTAAAATACAAGCTAGCAGTAAAGAAATTTAATTAAATTTTGGTGATTGTTGCTGCTGGTAAGACTGCGCTGTTTCCTTAGAATTCTGGCGGGGTTATCCACCATGACACGCAGAAGAAAATATTTTGTAGAGGAGGTAACTCTAGAAAATAAAATTTAATTTTAAGCTTGTCGTGATTCTTTCCCCTTATTAGTGCAACCTCCTACTCTTCTACCTTTTAACTTTGAAAGAAGTAACTCAGAACTGCATTATTTAGTCATTTTTTGTGAAAGCCACTGTAATTAGAAAGTTTTTTGTTCAGTCCTATGTAGGGGTATGTATAATGTTACCAGATCTTGCAAATCTAGATAGGAAAAAGGCCGGCGGAGACACCAACAAAAGAGGAACCAGACAAGGAGGGAACTAGAGACAAGCGGAGAACCAGATACAGACAGGGAACCAGACAGGCAGGGAACCAGACAGATAGGCAGGGCACCACATAGACAGGGAACCAGACAGGCAGGGAACCAGATAGGCAGGGAACCAGACAGGCAGGGAACCAGACAGACAGGGAACCAGACAGACAGGGAACCAGACGAGTGGGGGGAAAAAGACAAGCGGGAACCAGACAGGCGGGAAACCAGATAGACAGGGAACCAGACAGGCGGGGAACCAAAGACAAGCCGGGAACCAGATAGACAGGGAAACAGACAGCCGGGGAACCAGACAGATAGGGAACCATAGACAAGCGAGGAACCAGTCAAGCAGGGAACCTTAGTCACGCGGTGAACCATTCATAAGAGGGAACCAAACTAGCGGGAACCAGACAAGCGAGGAACTAGGCAGGCAGGGAACCATAGACAAGCGGTGAACATAAGTAGGGAACCAAACAAGCGGGGAACCAAATAAGCGGGGAGCCAAACAAGCAGGGAACCAGACAAGCGGGGAACCAGACAAGCGGGGAACCAAACAAGCGGGGAACCAAACAAGCGGGGAGTCAAACAAGCGGGGAGGCCAAAAAAGCAGGGAACCAGACATGTATGGAACCAGACAAACGGGGAACCAAACAAGCGGGGAATCTCGTTGTAGCGGTCGCGGTTTTAGAATTTGTAAACATTTGTGAACACCAGTTTACCAGACCGATTGAGTGATCGCGACACTACCAACCAAATTATCTTACCTCGAGTTATTGAATATAGTAATAGTAAACAATGTTTAAAGACTAATTTGATAACTCAATATTTATGCATTTTTATGATGCAATGTTTAAAAAAAAGGAATTTTTGCAATAAAAGTTGGTCACATATGAATTATAAGGTGTGACCACACATTGAAAAATTGGTATAGTAACTCAAGTAAAACAAAAATGTAAAAAAAAAAAATATTATTCATTTTACAGACCTGCCACCCCCATCTGTCGGAGGAGTTAGGGTCCTTGTGTGTGTCCTAGAAAGGTTTTTGTTGTCATTGGCCTGTCTTTCGTAACCGTTCCCAGATTCGTCTAAGGTACCCATCAATCATAGCATGGCCGTTTCACAGACTCAATTATGAGAAGAGAGAAACTAACTATCAAGTTATGAAAGCGATTTTTAAAAAACTCACTAAATGCAGTAAATCTTCGAGACATTTTTAAGAGCCTGCGCGGTGTTCTTTCTGTACTTGCGTTCATCGCAATATATCGTTTTGCATAATCAATCTTTCGAAAAAGCACGTAATATGTTGCGTGCTCAATTTTAAATATCTCATAATTTCAATCCCAGCCCCTAAACCTTACCCTATCTAAACTGCATAACTACCTGGGGCAGTTTTTAAATTTAATTTTGCCATATAACATCTTATAATTTGATTTTTAATGTGTTTTTCAACGTTTATCCCCTCACCTCAAACACCCCCCCTCCCTTTATCAACTACCGCCGCCACTGGATTAAAAAAAAAGTCTTGCACATGTTCACGAACATCGCCATTGGTTCAATAGCATGTATTCATAAATCACAGCTGTCAATTAAATTACCCGTTATTAAATGTTTAGTTGAGTTGTCAAATCCACTGATAGTCTTAACTCAGTGCAGGAGAAAATTAAAGATAAGTGTTTCGCGGATAAAATTAACAAGCCCGGCTAGATGATGTAACTATCGTTACGTCTTGGTACTCATTTATTGGCTTCGATTACACATACTGGGATTTGGTTAAAATAATGTATAATTTTAAACATAATTTAATAATTTTCTAGAATTTAAAAAAAAAAAGTTAATACATTAAAGAATTTTCTAGAAACTAAAATTCTCACCAAGAGTAATCCAAAAAAAAAAAAAAGAGAGAGAGAATTCTACACATATGGTAACATGTTTTTCATCCTTTTTGCTCTTAAATAAACAGAAGATGAATATGATATTGCAACTAACATCTTGAACTTTTTTTTTGCCATAAGTGACGCCTTTAAAATCTCATTGTACCAACTACCAACAAACCCATTCGTCAAGTGAAAATCAGTGTTTCTTTCAGGCACCTCTTCGAAACCACCTGAACAAAATAGAATTCATGTAGTAATTATATACTTTCACCAGGGTCCGCCCCCTCCCCTCATGTAAAATATTTAGTCTGCCCCCCCCCCCCCCCCCACCTAAAATTTCAAGTATCATGGTTATAGAAACACCCTTCGGTGACGGCCATAGTGTCAGAGCAGGGCCAACGTTACCTATAAGGCGAACTAGGTGGTCGTCTAGGGGGCGCAAAACATGTGTAATTACGTCTTGGTTTCAGAACAGTTTACAAAGACACTGATTCATTGTTCAGATGTAAAAATTATCAAATTCTGAAGGTTTTTTTCAGAAACTGGAAATAAAGTTAAGTACTCTTTCCGGTCACTGGAAATCAATCATAAGGGAAATCTGTCAAAAGTTGATAAAAAGCTATGAACGGGATCTTGTATTTATATGTGAAATTTCATCCACATAACTGAAATGGAATTCAAGCTGTCATTATACACAGACATAATTGCAAAACTCTGACCCCTCTGCAAATAAAAGAAGGGATAGTGTAATCAGCACTATGCACAGCTGCTTTTACTTTCCCTAACTTGAGTCAGGTACACATTAGAGCTGGATGGACTCTGGGACATCCAACTGACTCAATCCAGGTATCTGAACTTGAGACTTATGGGTTAGCATTCGTATGCTCTACCATCCAACCACGCCATCCCATACCTTTACATAAGTCATGTTGAAATAAAGAAGATATTCAGGTGAGGTCATTATCATGAGTTCTCCGATCAGTTGACCAATATAATTCTCACACCGGCAAGATAATGTATTTATCAAACCTTATTGTTTATACACCAACACACAATCAAGAAAAAATACCTCAATTCTTTTCAAAAGAACAATCACTATTAAATCAACAAAGCAACACATCAAATCATTCTTTAAGGGAAAAACAACTGTATTACACTGACATCAGTCTTAGAGGTATTTACCATACCACATGAAATCATATCTGTTCAAAAATTTCTTACATCCTAAGACATTATTATCAGCACAATATTTGAAGGTGAATGGATTGACATTGTTAGCTTCTATATATTTTTCTCTGTTTTCTCTGCGCTTCATTGATCCATGGGACACAATTCTAGTCCTGAACGGTAAAACTCTTTGAATCTGGGGGATAAAATTCTTAAAGTAATATAATATAAAAATTATGAAAAAAAAAAATAAAAACTTTGAAGATATAGTTTTATATTAATTTTTTTTCAAACAATTTTTACGAAGCAGACGTAACATATCTAAATGCCTTTGAAGTAAATTTTTAAATTAAGCATGCACCTTCCTTCAAAAGTGGAAATAAATAAGGAAAGTGGCGTAATAGTGTATATCATCATCATCATCATTTCCCGTTCGTGCCCAATACGCATGGAGCAGATAAAGTAGAGTTCATCTGCATATGAAAGGAAAGAGTGGTCAGCACTATGCCCAACCGCTTTGCTTTCCCTAACGCGAGTTAGATACCCATCCGAGCTGGATTGACTCAAGGACAGTCTACTGACTTGAACCCGGATTCAAGCTCGAGACTTTCGGGTTAGCATTCTAGCTCTCTACCAGTAGACCACGCCGTCCCCAGTGTAGATCAGCAGTTTCCAAATTTTTCACCACTGCACCAACTAGAAAAACCTAAACCCTTTAGCACCTCCCCAAGTCCTCTTTAGCAGCACCCCCCCCCCCCCCCCAAGCCCTACCACTTATCACTTGCGCCAGACATCTTATCCCCTTCACAGTTCTCCTAGCACTACTGTTCCTGATGGGAGGCAAGGTCTCCCCTTTTGAAAAACTGTTCCCAAAGGGAGGAAAGTCTCCCCTAATGAAAAACTGTTCCCAAAGGGAGGAAAGTCTCCCCTAATGAAAAACTGTTCCCAAAGGGAGGAAAGTCTCCCCTAATGAAAAACTGTTCCCAAAGGGAGGAAAGTCTCCCCTAATGAAAAACTCTTCCCAAAGGGAGGAAAGTCTCCCCTAATGAAAAACTTTCCCAAAGGGAGGCAAGTATCCCCTTTTGAAAAACTGTCCAAAAAGGAGGCAAGTCTCCCCTAATAAAAAACTGTTCTCAAAGGGAGGCAATTCTCCCCTTTCCAAAAACTGCCCCAAAGGGAGGCAAGTCTCCCCTTTCCAAAAACTGCCCCAAAGGGAGGCAAGTCTCCCCTTTCCAAAAACTCTTCCCAAAGGGAGGCAAGTCTCCCCTTTCCAAAAACTGTTCCCAAAGGGAGGCAAGTCTCCCCTAATGAAAAACTGCCCCAAAGGGAGGAAAGTCTCCCCTAATGAAAAACTCTTCCCAAAGAAAGGAAAGTCTCCCCTAATGAAAAACTCTTCCCAAAGAAAGGAAAGTCTCCCCTAATGAAAAACTTTCCCAAAGGGAGGCAAGTATCCCCTTTTGAAAAACTGTCCAAAAAGGAGGCAAGTCTCCCCTAATAAAAAACTGTTCCCAAAGGGAGGCAAGTCTCCCCTTTCCAAAAACTGCCCCAAAGGGAGGCAAGTCTCCCCTTTCCAAAAACTGTTCCCAAAGGGAGGAAAGTCTCCCCTAATGAAAAACTGTTCCCAAAGGGAGGAAAGTCTCCCCTAATGAAAAACTCTTCCCAAAGGGAGGAAAGTCTCCCCTAATGAAAAACTTTCCCAAAGGGAGGCAAGTCTCCCCTAATAAAAAACTGTTCCCAAAGGGAGGCAAGTCTCCCCTTTCCAAAAACTGCCCCAAAGGGAGGCAAGTCTCCCCTTTCCAAAAACTGCCCCAAAGGGAGGCAAGTCTCCCCTTTCCAAAAACTCTTCCCAAAGGGAGGCAAGTCTCCCCTTTCCAAAAACTGTTCCCAAAGGGAGGCAAGTCTCCCCTAATGAAAAACTGCCCCAAAGGGAGGCAAGTCTCCTCTTTCCAAAAACTGTTCCCAAAGGGAGGCAAGTCTCCCCTTTCCAAAAACTGCCCCAAAGGGAGGCAAGTCTCCCCTTTCCAAAAACTGTTCCCAAAGGGAGGCAAGTCTCCCCTAATGAAAAACTGTTCCCAAAGGGAGGCAAGTCTCCCCTATCCAAAAACTGTTCCTGATGGGAGGCAAGTCTCCCCTTTCCAAAAACTGTTCCCAAAGGGAGGAAAGTTTTCCCTTTCCAAAAACTGTTCCCAAAGGGAGGAAGGTCTCCCCTTTCCAAAAACTGTTCCCAAAGGGAGGAAGGTCTCCCCTTTCCAAAAACTGTTCCCAAAGGGAGGCAAGTCTCCCCTTTCCAAAAACTGTTCCCAAAGGGAGACAAGTCTCCCCTAATGAAAAACTGTCCCAAAGGGAGGCTAGTCTCCCACTTGAAAAAAAACCACTGCAGTAGATGTTGAATCTACTTCAACTAACAAATTGAAAATGTCTTCAGGTGTACATTTCTTTAGTGTGACTTAAAAATAAACTCAAAATTAGTAACACAAGAGCAGAAACAACTTACTGCCTCCAGCATGGAATGCACCTCAACAAACTCGCAATGACCTCCAACCTCTAGGAGGATTCTCTCAGCTTTGAATGGAAAAACATAATGGTCTATGGCGCCCTTCCCTCCACCCATCCTATGTCCCTGGCCTTTCTTAGTCACAGACTGCCACAGATGGGTGAAGCGCCACACTGCAAACATGTATCTCTCATCCATTTGTTTAATGATGATCTGACGAACATTCTCGGTGTCTTTGTGTTTTAGCCTGCCACCAGTGAATGCCTAAATGTCGAGATAAGACAAATAAAAGCGTGAATTTCTTTTCATTTCTGGAATGGACTATAAGTTTTAATTAATGAACTAAAAAGGTCAATCTCTTAAGACATGCTCGTGGTCAGCGTAGGGAAAATTCTGGTAAAGTTGACTTTTGTAGATGCTTTGATTTTTGTGGATGCAGGGGTGGGAGGCAAAATATAAAGTCTATTTAATAATTGGAATTTAGTTTGCCCATAGCATCAAAGGGGAACAATGAAAGAAATACCAAACACTGAACAAGACATGAAGAGTTGTGAGCAAAGGGAAAGAATAATTTTTTTTTCAGATTTAAACAATGGTTTTCTTTTTCTATTTTTGCCTATAGTATCACCAGATAGTCTTTGCTGCTCATTCTTTTGTGCTATCTTCTTCTTCTTCGTTCTTAATTATTAGTGTTGAAGGGGATCGAGATTTATCTGCCAGTGCGTTTGAACTCGAGACTTTGTTCGAATTTATCAACCATGAGCTTTTTGCCGACTCGACCACGCCTCCAACACACTTAAGCGTTACGTGTCAACTGGTTATGCGCCATTGAGGCCATTGACTCCGATTTCAGCCTGCTTTTCTTTTTGGATTTGCTTCCATAGCCTTTGTCCAACCAAGAACAAACTACAAGGCAGCATTTGTTTAATTTTGGAGTTGTCTCTCCTAGAAGAGTGGCTGTCCCCAGCTAACAAGCCTCATCTGCCCAGGGGTTCGAACTCGAGACTTTTCGGTTTAGCAACCATGAGCTTTACCAACTCGACCACGCCGACCCCCTAACATCTAACCAATATGTACTCATTTTTAGCATTTTTAGTTTTTTGTGCTATAAAGGTACACAACTTAACAGTTATTCTGAATTAAATGTTTCAATTTTTTTTTAGCAGAACTATGGGAATGGAGTGAAGGCTAAGAGGGGTAAAAAAAAACATAATGGACATTATAATTATACATGGATTATACCTAAATTTAAAACACACTTGTAAGATTTTTTATTTTGTTAAACAGAATTAGTTCTGTCTACTAGAAATAAGAATTTTAAAAATTCACTTGTCATTCTTGACATATTTGTAACACTACAATTAATTTGCTAAACCAATAGACTATTACCTGTATACCATAATTACCATAAAGTAATTTGTTTTGAATAAGTTCTGGCCCTCGCATCTGATGAAGATCTTTCATCATCTTAGGAGGCCTTAAACCTGGTTCAAGTGGGGGAACCTTTTCAATTATTCTTAAACGCCTTCTTTCAGGGAACTGCACATCTGGGAAAAAAATTTCAAGAAATTATATTACTAGAGTTATGTTCCAGTTGCCTAAATGATGATCATGTATGAGAATAATATTGTTTTTAAAAGAAAAATTACTTCCCAAAATTAAAACACAAATATACCTGCCTATGTTAATAATACTAATGAATTAAATGTTTGGTACCAACCACTACTTACTGTCAAACTTTGGTGGCACTTTAAATTTGAACGTCATGCATGCTGAGATTGAAAAACAGCAATGTGTGTCTGAAAAAAAAGAAAAAAAAAATGTCAATAGATTTATAATGTGTAGAATGCCAAAATGCATCAATCTACAACTCCATCAGATTTGGAATATTTTACGAATCATTTGCAGTGTTATTAAAAATATTGGATTCTTATAGGCCTAATTATAACCAATTTAAAGAATTTTTAAAATTAATTTTTCACTAGTAGTAGGCTGTTCGGTTCACAACTTCCATGTTTGTTTATATTATCTCACTGCCTAAGAGGTAGAGGGATAAAACCAATGATTTTTAATCCATCTTCAATGTAATGTTAGTAATTGGAACTACATTTTTCTATTTTAGTCTGTTAATTAATAATAGTCAAGTGTTCTTTTGACCTTATTTCATTATTTATGTCGCTAGAGGCGCGTTCGTGAAAGTTTTAGGTACATAAATTTGGCCGAGGCTAGTAATGTGTGTCAAAGTTGCCACATTGTTAAGGCTTTAATAGAAGTATACTGTGATATATTTGTGTCAAATATTATAGATAATTGAATAATAAACTAAAATCAATGGCTAAATATAATATTAATATATCAATGTATGTAGGCCAGAAATTAACTTTAAAAAGCAGTGTTTGCGAGCAATATTTGCTATATAGTATATAAACAGCACCCCTTTGTAAAAAAGAGTGGCTTCCCCTAAATCTCCCGAAGTTTACCAAAAAAAATTAAACAAGATGGCTGCTGAAGTAAACGAGCTTTGTTGCATCTGATGAAAACATCACTACTACTACTAGTCTTTATTTATATTACTGTACTGTAAAGTTTTAATGAAAATGGTTAAAAACAGGCAGATACATGTCAATACATGAATGAAACTAAAACATTTTTGTAACTTTCAAAACATAAATCTTAAAAATTTGAAATAATTACTAAAATTTAACGAGTCACCTTATTTTATTTTCACATTAGATCTACTAGCCTCGGCTTATTTTACGTAGGCCTACCTCAAGTAGGCTACCTGGCTACCTAGTAACCTACTACCTACTACATAGTACTACGGCTAATACTGGCTAATAGTAATAGTCAGTAATAGATCTAGTAGGTAGGGGTTATCTATCGTTTTAGGTACTTAAAATCGGCCGAGGCTATTTATGTCTGAAAAAGTTGCCTTATTGTTTAGGCTTTAATAGAAGTACATTGTGATATATTTGTGTTAAATATTATAGATAATTAAATAATAAACCTAAATCAATGGCTAAACATATCAATATAGGCCAGAAATTAACTTTAAACAGCAGTGTTTGCGAGCAATATTTGCTATATAAACAGCCGTCATTTGAAAAAAGGAGTGACTTTCCTAACCTTAACCCTATCCCTAACCCTAGCCATTGGGGGTGTGGGGAAATTGCGAGACGCGAAAAGCGAAATGGCGAGGCGGGAAAATGCGATAAGGTAATGCGAGACATACCTGCGGAATTAAGGGTAAATAGCGAGACACTTTTTGCGAAAAAGGTTTTTCCTTTTTTTCCATCTTTATTTATTTAAATTATTTTTTTTTTGTTTTAAAATAAACAAGCATTTAGCCATACCTTTTAACACGAGTGTTGTATGTTGTTATTTTTATCTAGATACTAAGAAGAAAGATAGATCTATATCTAGATCTATCTATTTAAAAATCCTAACATCGTTGCTGTGCTACTGTCATCGCCCGCTCTTGTTAGCGAGAGGAAAATCCCGTCTCAGTCGGCATTAATTTAAAAATCTAGCCCGCTCATGTTTATACAAACGTGAGCTGTCATTGTGAATTGGTATAATCTTGTCAGCAGGAGAGATATTTTGCAACATCTATTTATGGATTTTTGTACTTGCAAAAAGTGTAAAAGTATAAACAATTCTAAAAAGTGCAATTTATTTTTTTATTAAGTAATTTTAATTACAAACAAAATTTACAAACAAAAACTTCTGAAACAGTCCTCAAACACACCTCGTGACACCATCTTTCACACATAGTACACCCAACCCAGTTCATTAGACTCCCATTCATACATTTTTCTTTTGCTACTTCTTCCAATCCACATTCACAACATTTCACATTCTCATCACAGTTGACCTCCTCGTTCATCCCACAAACAACACTGGCACCCATGTTCTCATCATCATCATCCGCACGCTCAACATCTGTTTTCCGTTTTTAATAATTTGTATTTTTTATCATTTCTGTAATTTTGGCAATGTCTTGCTCATTGTTGTCACCAGCAGTTGAGTTTTTTTAAAACATCGCTATTTTCCCAAAATCTTGTCTAATTTCGGTCAAAATAGAGTATTTTAATCAATTCCTATTATAATGTATTAAAACAGTTTTCTAAAACACGAAAAAACGTCTAAAATTCTTTTTCTAACATTGCTTTTTTATAGTGTGACTTCACATCTAACCCCCCCCCTCCTCCCCCTCATCACACATCGTCCTAATATTACAGACCCCCCCCCCCCCTACGAATGTGACGTCATTTATGGAAGACCCCAAATAACACCACCACCAAAACCAAAAAATTCAGATAAGTTCAACTTGGTTTTAAAAATATTTGAAGTAGGCCTATAGCTTACGATATAGCACGAGCAACTGATAATATCGGTGACGTCACTTTATTTTGCATTTCCTTGTGCTTAGATTTATATGGTAAAAAAAGCTAGAAAAAAATCGTAGGCGGCGGCTATAATACAACATTTCTATGCAACAATAGAAAATATGTTTGCGGCGGCAGCGGATCCGGACACGGCGATCTTCAAAGACGGTAAATCAGGCGGCCTCGGTGTTCCACACAAAAGACAGAAGTTGATCTATCGTCGGCGGTATTTCCGTCGGTTTCGAACAAGGTGGTATTCTAAGTCGACACAAAAGATGGGGGGAGTTGACAAATCATCAGTATGTCTAGTGACGGAAAAATCGGAAGTTTTAACAATGTAAACGAAACGTCTTTGAAGTCTGGACCAAATACCACTGAAAATCGGGTGCGGTAAATTTTTCGCAGAAATCTTCGCATTTAAACACCACCCAGCGTAAGTATCGGCTTGTGGTAAAATGCGAGACAAAAAAGTCACATGACCGACCGTTTTCGCGCCCTTCTCGCATTTTCCCGCCTCGCCATTTCGCTTTTTGCGTATCGCAATTTCCCCACACCCAGCCATTGGACATTGCGCATGCACAGAGCTATCCTTTGCCGACTAAGTAGAGACGTTGGGGAGAAAAATCTTCTTCGGAGTAGTCACTTCGTAAAAACATCGCTAGTCTTTATTTTTAACCTAAAAGCTTTAGGCCTAATACAAATGTTTAAAAACAGGTACATGAATGAAACTGAAACATTTTTGTAACTTTCAAAACAAAAATCTTCCTTTAATGAGGCACCGTCTTTTCACATTACTAGCCTCTGCCGATTTTACGTGCCTAAAGCGATAGATTACCTACTATTAACTATTACCTAGGTAGGCCCCCCCCTACCCTAGCCCTAATAATAATTTACGGTAATCTATCGTTTTGGGTACGTAAAATCGCCCGCGGCTATTAATGTACGAAAACGTTACCTCATTGTCAAGGCTGTAATAGAAGTATATTGTGATATGTTTGTGTCAAATATTATAGATAAATGAATAATAAACCTAAATAAATGGCTAAATATATCAATATAGCAGACATGCCTACCCCTGTCAGCCAAAAGTAGGAACAGTTATGCCTAAAAAGAGGAATTTGAAGCCAAAAAGAGGAACATACGCGCTGACGCAACTTTACTAAGTCAAAAATAAAAATAATTAATTAAAAATTACTCTAATGACATTAGTAGGCTTCTAGTCCTATATAACTAGTCTCTAGGATACATTTAAATATTGCTTAATGTCAGCTTACATTTTAAAAAATAAATTAACCAGTAACCCCCTCCGAATAAAAATCATAGCTTTGACATAACATTATTGATTTGATTATTTATGTCTTGCTATGTTCTAGGCTATATGAATAACAAATGCTGAAGGCTTCATCATATGTAATATATAATATAAGTTACGAGCAAAGACTCTTGATCTACCTAGTAAAACTCCTAGTTACTTCTTACTAAGTTCTTCATAATAGTAGTTACTAGTTAAGTTAAACTAACAAGATAGATCAGTTTTCACTATTTCAGTATCTACTAGTAGATCTAGTTACAATTCTAGATCTAGTAGAAGTAGATATACTACTAACTAGATCTAGTATTAGATGATACTTGTAAATATTGTAAGTAAACTAGGAAACAGAAACGTGTGCCAAAGGGAGATAATCGCTTTTTCCTGACCTTTTTTTCAATTTACTTTATTACCTTTCTTTATTAATTTTTTTTTCAAAAAATCGGAACCAACTGAGTCAATTTCGGAATGACGGAACAAAATACTTTTTTAGGTGAAAAAGCGGGGCGGTTCCGATTTTGGCGGGACGGTAGGCATGTCTGATATAGGCCAGAAATTAACTTTAAACAGCAGTGTCTGCAAGCAAGATTTGCTATATAAACAGCAGCCATTTGTAAAATAGAGTGACCTCCGCCTGAATTTCGCGCTATAAGTCTATAAAAATAAAACTTTAACAAGATGGCTGCTATAGTAAATGAGCATGGTTGCATCTGTTGGAAACATCGCTGGTGTTCATTTATTACTGAAAAGTTTTAATTCAATTGTTTAAAAACAGGTACATAAATGAAACAATTTTTGTAATTTTTCAAAACATAAATCCTCCTCAAAATGTGAAATAATTATTAAAATGTAAGGAGTCGCCTGTTTTTCACATTACTAGTTGCTGGCGATTTTACGTACCTAAAACTAAAACGATAGATTAGGCCTACCTAATTTAAATCGAAGTGTCTACTCGGAAGAAGATTTTTCTCCCCAACGTCTCCATTTAGTCGGCAAAAGATAGAGGAGCTTACACTTTTCGGACACACATAGCGAAAAAACGCAACGTAAAAATTCCATGCGGTCTCATTCAGTAACCGCTTAACATAGAAAACAAAAAAAGTATCATATCTATCCGCAACCATTCTACTTTAATAATGTGTGTGTCATTTTGTATTCATACGCATAGAACTTAAGCTATTCTTGTTATAGTGACTGGGGGGTCTTAACGTGTGTTCGAACACATGTAATACAGTTTTACATGTGTTCTGACACCTTTACCCGTCATCGGACATAGCACTTTTTGTTCATTTAGAATAATTTAAAGTCAATTTAATTAATAAAAACATATATTATATGCATTTATAATGTGTTATTGATTGTTTGTGAGGTAATTTTAATAGTATAAAACCTTTTTCCCACACTCCCAGTTCATCCCATTCAGCCATTGCGGCTCGCGCAGTACGCTGCTAAGCCAGCCAGGTCACATGATTCCCCCTCCTCTTTCGCATTCCACTGCCTTCTTGACCTTATTTTGACCCTTTCCCTTCAATAACCAGCCCCTTTTATGCTCTAAATTCTTATTAAGTAATATTTTTGTGTTGCTGTCCGCTCCCATGTAAGGCCAAATAAGTTAGCGAACACCCCTCTTTTATTGTTGAAGCACAAAAAAACCCATTAACCTTGACATTTACGATGTTCCATACATATATAGAAGCTATTTATAGTGTAACCTTTTAGCTAAGCATTGATTGGTTCAAGTTTTGCCCCTAAGTCCAACCCTAGGTCACTTCATCCGGCTGGTGTAAAAATAGAAATGTGCGTACCATGCAACGTTAAAAAATTTCTAAAAATAATTCTTGAGAAAGGAAACGGAAGTACTTGACACGGAAGTGTTCATAAATGAACAGTTTACGTGCAGGCGCCGTGGTTTCGCGTGAGACATGCTAATTAAAGTTTCTATGAGCCAAAAACCGACGAAGTGTTCGCTCCTACGTAATTTTTGGTGTGTCCGAAAAGTGTAAGCTCCTCTAGTTCTGCGCATGGGCAGTGACCTATGGCTAGGGTTAGAATGAGGGTTAGGATTAGGGATAGGGTTAGGATTAGGGCTAGGGTTAGGATTAGGGCTAGGGATAGGGTTAAGGATAGGATTAGGGTTGGTGTTAGGGTTCTGCGGTTGTAAACACACGCATGCGCAGTACCATCGAAAGCATCGCCGCTAAGGCAAGTCGTAGTTTCTCTCCATTGCGCATGCGTATCGCAAGCGTATCTTATTCCGACTAGAATCGGCCAATTTAAATTTACTAAAAAAAAGCGATAGGCCTAGTCAGATTTATTAGGTTAGATTTTTATTCACTTACTTTTAAATAATTTAGCATTAAATAATCCAGCTAGCGTACTAGATTTACAAGCTAGTTTTGTCACCGAATTCATTTTTTCATGTAGATCTAGAATCCAGTCTAGAATGTACTGGGATTGTCTTTTGACTTTCGTTACGGTCTCTCTAACTGCCGCCGGTTGAAGTAAATTTTAAATAGGCTAGGCCAGGGGTCGGCAACCTTTTGAGACAGAAGAGCCAAAAGTCACAATTTACAAAATTTCCCACCTTTTTAAAGAGCCACTAACATTTTAATTTCAATATAACTATTACTACTATTACGATCTTTGATTAGGATAAGGTATATATATATATATATATATATATATATATATATATATATATATATATACCTGGAGGGCACAACGTTTGGTCTGGCCCCTACCCACGCAGATCTGTCCGACTTGGTTAGACCTGCCAGGAGCACTAGGCTCCCGCCGGCATAGCTCTGGGGGTCGCTGGGGCACACAAGCCATCCCACCACTACAAGGCGGTGTGCCATCAGGATGGACCTCACTGATACGGAAAAACATTATTTTGCAATCTTGTCCGTATGTCTGTGTGTGTGTCTGTGTGTGTATGTGTGTGTGTGTGTGTGTGTGTAAACACGATAACTTGAGTACCGTTACAGCTAGGTATATAAGTATGTTATCAAAATCGTAGATCCTGATCAACTTTTGAGCGATTTCCGATAACCGGAAGTGGTACTTTTTTTACTTTGAATATTTCAAAAGCCTATAACTTGAGAACAATTTCAGATAGATAAATGAAATTTCACACGTAAGTAAAAGATTTAATCCTCTACCTTCTATCAAATTTTGAGTAATTTCCGTTGACCGGAAGTAGTAATTTACGCTACTTCCGATTTCTCAAAAAGTGCTTGTAAATTTTATAAAGTACTAATAATATTCCGCACTATTATGCACATTTTGTTTGGGCGTTTGCTTGGTGCGCAATTCTTTTTTCTATGAAGTTTAAGTATCTAAAATGGATTAAAAATCATAACTAGTTCCCGAGTTCCCATCCCCTGTTGTTTTATATAAGAACGAGCCGACCCGCGGCATATCATATATCATACGCCGCTATTTAGTTGTTGTTTTTTTCTACTTTTCAGTTATTCATAATTTGTGAATTCGACACTACCAACGCTGCCACTGAAAATATTTCTTTAAAACACTATAAGTAGCTCGTTAAGGACGATAACCCCCCCCCCCCCCCTCCTCCTCCCCCACCCCCCTCCGTTAAAGTAAGCTCCACTTAGTTACCCCCCCCCCTACGTTTAAAATCGTTTCAAACTAAATTATCTGCCCCTAATAGTCGTCACTAAACCCGGCTCTGCTTTTAAACATTTAGCGTGAACCACAGCTCACCAGACCATGTAGCGGTGGGGGTGGTAGGGAGCGCGTTTACAGCTTGTTTTCTAGCGTCTCCCAGAAGAGAATCTATATATACTACTAAAAGTCAAGTTTGTTTACATGTTTGAATATTTATTTTTTTGTTTGTTTTTTGTTTGGCTGATCGAGTATTGCGATATGTTCTACTCTATCTGGAGAGCTGTAAAATAGTATGTAGGTAGAGAATAATTTTTTAATGCAGACAGACTGTTAATCACAAATTTATTTAAAGACGTTAATTAATGTATTGATTTATTCATAGGTATATTAACCACAATTTTTTAAAAAGATTTGAAAAGCCACTAGACTCGACGGAAACAGTGACGTCACATGATGTGTTTATTTTTTTACATCGATAATGGCGGCCTATCGAAGAAGATTGTGTTCCCATTCCAATGTTTAACGCGTTCTAAAGCTAATTTTCTGTCGGCTTTAACTTTAACAATACGTCCGTTTGCTGTATTTATTACGTTCCAACACTTATATCAATTTTAAACTGTCTTTTTTCATTTAGTTTTACAATAAATTTCTCTAGATCTAAAGATCAGCTGTCGAAGGAAAGTTATGAATCTAGCCTAGATCTAGATCTAGCCTAGATCTAGGTCACTAGACTCAATGTAAATTCTAGATCTAGACTTAATGTAAATTCTACATCTAGAATCTATTTCAGGCCTTAATATATCTAGAATCTATTTCAGGCCTTAATTATTTTATATAAATCTTTGTTTGGCTAATTTAAGATAAAATTTAATTTGAAAGTTACTACTACTAGACTTAGATCTAGAATCTAGATCTATGCGCGTAAATCAAGTTGCATAAGGAGACTCAAAGTATAGTATAAAAATTCATTTGTGACGTCACGAGTAAATAGCTAAGTTGGTAGCGTAGTCGGCTCTCATGCGGGTGGCACAGGTTCTAGACCAATTCGTCAATGATATTTTTTTTTCAATTTTTTTTTTAGATGTGAATGATAAAGTTGCCTATCTGAACTTGGCAGGATACAGGGCAGGTGAAGTAGAGTTCATCTGTTTCTTTGTCCTAAGCATATGAAAGGATAGTGTGGTCAGAGACATGCTAGGCTGGAATCGTTTTTTAAACGATAAAAACATGTTGTCTGAGACTTGGCGGGACACTGGGCAGGTGAAGTAGAGTTGAGTAGGTCACATGTGACGTCAGTATATGAAGGGATAGTCCGAAATCGGTGTTTTCGGTGTTTTTAAAAGATAAAAAACATATTTTTGAATGTGGGGTCTGTTTTTTATGACGATAAGTGACACTGCAGTAGCGTAGCGAGGAGGGGGGGGGGGGGCGGGAGGGGGAGGGGAGGTGGAGGGGGGGCGGGGAGGGGGAAATATGTTGGGGCGCCAAAATGGTTTGGAAAAATAAATTGAAAGGTTGAGGGGGGTGCAAATCGAAAGTTTGAGTGGGGGGGGGGGGTGCACAGCAAAAGTTTGAGGGGGGGGGGGGGGGGTTGCAAATCGAAATCTTGCGGGGGGGGGGGGGGGGGTTCAAATCTAAAAGTTTGTCCCCGGGCGCCGGGAAGGGTCGCTATGCCTCTGAGTGACAGACGTGATGTTTTTTGATGGATGACCCCCGAAACCCACAGTTATCCAACGGATGACGGGTATTCTAGTTATATATATAGATAGATATTCGAGAAAGTTTAGGGGAGTTCACTCCCGGTTTATTTGTTTTACTATAAAAGCCAATGTTTTCATATTTGAATCACAAGTTTATTTCAATTTTTTATCAAAATATCAAACTCGAGCACACACATTAGTATAAATACCAGGCCAGACAAGGTTTGCTTATAACAATAAATTTGGTTGATTTTAGTGTTAAAAACACAACCAGCGGTCGAATTCTGACACATAAATGACATGTCTCTGTTGTGAACACTGTATGATTTTAAATTTTTAAAAACATTTATAGGCCTTTACTTTTAGTGAACGTTAATATCGGGTTTACTGGCCAGGGATGACGTTCTTTAAATGGACGCCTGTGGAAATCCAACTTTTTGTGGGCCTCATAAATTGATGACACCTAAGAGGGTGGAGGTGTGGTTTTTTACGCTTATACCGTGCTTACTGTTTTAGTTGGGCTTAGTTTAACCTCTGTATGTTATTAATAATTTCATACGTAGAGTGGTTTGAAATTCTTTTTCTCTTTTGCGTCTGCAATCAAACAAGTGCCAACAGTCTTTATCGTCTGATCTATAACGACATAATATTCTCATGGACATTTATATTTGTTCAATATTAGTCTGCATTTCCAGCTTTCTCATGCCCAATATAAATTCTTGAATGACAGTTCAATAACTATCGTGACACGGATATACCGGCTCAGGAGTTTGACTCCCATTAGCCTTTCACCAGGCTTTACTTCCCCCACCACCAGACGCGAACATAGTCCTACCGTCTGGTACCCGGTTAGTTGATGGTCAGAGGTCTAAAACTTCTATAGGTCTAAAGTAAACATCATATATTTAGTGTTACTGACGTAGCTGATGGATCTTGCCTCTCTGCGTTTGGTTAGTGTGTGAGTCGTGGTAGTGGGTGGGGGCAACATATAATCATGCTAAAAATGAGTACATATTGGTTAGATGTTAGGGGATCGGCGTGATCGAGTCGGTTAAGCTCGTGGATGCTTAACCGAAATGTCTCGAGTTCAAACCCTCGGGCAGATGAGGCTCGTTAGCTGGGGATAGCCACTCTTCTAGGAGAGACAACTCCAAAATCAAACATCTGCTGTAGTTTGTTCTTGGTTGAACAAAGGCTATGGAAACAAATTAAAAAAGAAAAGCAGGCTGAAATCGGAGTCAATGGCCTCAATGGCGCATAACCAGTTGACACTTATACTTAATTGTGTTGGAGGGGATCCCTTCCAACACTAAACTTAAGAACGAAGAAGAAGAGAAGAAGAAGAACGTTAGATGTTTGTATCCAATTTACCGCTCATTGAACACAATTGACAGCTTTTAAAAATAAGTTTCAGCCCGGGGCCCCGCCCAAGCTTAATCCGCCCCTGCGTGCGACATCTAAACGGTTAGTGACAAAATGAACACGACAAAAGTCAAATCGACTCCGTCAAAAGGGCCAGCGACAAATGGACTGAAGAATAGGCCTAGATCTATATTATATTTTGTATATAGATATAAATACTATTGCATTGAAGAGGGGGGGGGGGGGGCTGTAGACGTGCTTCGTGAGGGACGAGGCGATGCGCTAGTCGCAAAAATTGTAAAATAAACTTTGTAGTAGTCTATATACCGCTAATGTAAATGATAACGTCCAATACGTATGTATGTTATTAGTGGTGTTACTTTTGTTTTTAAATTACCCCCCCCTCCAAAAAATATTTAAAAATCATAATACAGTGGTGTGCGAAACCACATTTTTTATTTGCAAATCTGGATTTCTAGCACTCTGGAATATTCGTTGCCATATTGAAACAGCATACGAATAAGTTTTCTTTTTTATGTTTGATATAAACAGGCACATTACTGCTTTCGATTGTAGGAAAAAAAGTCGGAAAAAAAGAACACAGGAAAAAAAGGCACAAATATATTTGCATGGAATTTGTTAATATAATAGATTGACGACAGAAGCCTGTGGTTGTATATAACACATTTATTGGGTCTAACTACCTCACGATGGTAACACACAGAGAGGACGGAAGTAAGTACACAAGGGACATCACTCAAGATAACAATATTATAAATATAACTAATACAGAAGAGT